CACAATATATGAAATTTAGCAAAAGTATAAGTACAAATGAAATAACAATGCCCGTGATAAAACGTTTCACAACTTTATATACTCATAAGATAACAATACCGAGTCTTAATTCATTTACTTTCAATTCACATTTCGATCACTTATCTTTCTTAATTCATGAGTCAATTTCATTATTTCACAACAACCGTACCGAGATTACAACTCAATTACTTTCAATTCACACAACACATATGCATAAACACTTCAAACTTCCATTTCACGGATATTTCATCCGCGAGCAGCCGTCAAACGGGACCCATGTAAACGTAGGCTATTTTATGGATACATAAACACTTCAAACTACAATTGCCATTTTACAGATATTTCGTCCGCGGGCTAGGCACCCATGTATAATTTCAGGACTTTCACCCAGGACACTCCGACCAACTTAGTTATAATGGAGTCCATTCCCTTTCTCCTCCCAAACAAATCATCCATACATATGCAATGTATTTAAACATATAATCAAACATGGAGCACATCTCCTTTTCACTCCCAAACAAACATACATATACAATGTATATAAACACAATCATATTCAATGACAACCATCAAAAGATTAGTTTCAATTCACCTAATCTACATGCAATTTCTACAACAATCAAAATTATCCTCCACCGATAGCCCAATACAGTTATCTCTAGACAGATATTTAATCTCAAACAGATAGTTTATTTAAAACTTCCAAGAGAATGAGTTAATACATAACCAATCTCATCATTCATAACAATACCCTCTCCATTGCACTTTTCCAATACAAATTCCAATTATTTGTGCAAAATAATAATTTGATCAAATTAGGGCAATTCCCCCTCCCCCTTATTCCCAAATATTAGCCAAGTGCCAAAATCATCAAATTAAACATAACACAACATCAATTTCAACCCCACAAGCCTTTGTTTCCTCTACACTCAAAACCCCTCTTTTCACTTTTGTGCCCAAACCCTTGGTTTGTTTAAAGCATCTCCAAATTACACCATTGTTACACATGTGACAGATAACTAAGCTACATGACATATAAAGGTGTAGAAAAGATCCCTACCTCAAAGAGAAGACGAGCCAAGCAAGAGTGAAACCCCAAGAATGCCGAAACCCACTTCTGTTTGGTTCAAAATGAAGATCTTGACGAGCTTTACCTTTTTCTCAAAGGCACTAGGATGAAAATCTCAATGGATCTAGATGAAATCTAAGAGAGAAAGTGAATTGTAGAGAGAGAAACTCAAGAACAAGCTTTTTGGAAAGTTTTAGAGAAAGAGAAAGAAAAGAAAAAGTGATTCAAAATGTCATCTTTTCGGACTGAAATACACGCAATCCGCTTGAGCGTGGAAAGCCCCGCTCAAGCGTCAGACACAAGGTTCTACTCGAGCATGAAAAGTGGCGCTCGAGCGTGGAATGCACAGTTCCAGAAGCTTTGCAGATGAAGGTCCCCGCTCGAGCATAGGACTGGACGCCCGAGAGTCCGATGCACTTTCCCAGCATTTTCAGAACTGCAAAATGTACTGAAGGTTGACGAATCCCGTTCGAGCGCGAGAATAGCCACTCGAGTGGAAAAGAAAATTTGTGAAGCCCACTCGAGCGGAGGAGCCAAAATCTAGGCAACAAAGGCTTGGAAAAATAAGCAACTAACCTGCCCCAAACACACAACTACAACTCGATTCCCAAAATAAAACGGGAAAGCAAGGGAATGAGATAAGAATAACTATTTAAACCACACCAACCCGAGTCCAAAATGCAATAGGTAACGGGTTAAAACCAAAATCGCTATAGAAATGGATTTTGCTTATATTTATTAAACATATTTATATGTGTATTATAAATAAATTTATTTATTTTTCACTAAAATGAAATTAATCATTAAAATATTAATTTTTATTTATTTATTTTTTATTTTTTATCTTAAAATTGTCATTAAATGTAAATTGTTATTCGTAATATACTATATTTTCTATAATTTTTTTATTAATATTTTCATTCTTCAACTTACAAAATTAATCCGTCTTCTGCCCCACACCTGCCCAGCCACCACCACCCCTGATTTGCCCTGCCTTTGATATGATGCAGAATGAGGGGGATTGCTACAAACTCACTCCAAACCAACCCGTGAAAATCCTTAACTCCAACCACTACCCACTACTCATTGTTATCTCTAACTTTGTGATAGTTCCAAGAGAAAATACAGAAATTTCAAGAGGAAGATGTGACAAGGTCGTCGCTAGCATAAGTAGGGGAGAGTGTCACATTCTTCTGAATTTCCTAGTGCAAAGACCCCGTTAAAATGAAGATTGGAGGAGTGGAAGCCAATAAAAGATTCTAAATACTCTTTGAAAAATTGAGAAATTGGGAAAGTACAGGACTTGTATATGATTTTAGAAAATGTGTAGATAATTGTGTCAGATAGTTTTAGAGAGTATGATAGAACATTGTTGGTTGCAAAAAGCTTCCATAAAGCTTCTAGTGCCTCATTTCTTGTATATTCTAGAAACTTTCTATAAGGCCAAGCTTGCCTATAAATAAGGAAGGAGTTCATTTGTTTCAAACCATCCCAGAGTTGTACAACTTTTCTTCAAGTGAATATAAATCTAGGTCAAAACACACACACAACAAAAAGGAGAAAGATTGAACCAGGGTTTGGACGTCCTACAACAAGCCCGAAGAAAGGAGGACTGAAGAAAGGCCTAGGAGAAACAAAACATCCGAACCAACTATTTTACTTTTTATGTGAATCTAAATTGACCCAGGCAATTGTCGAATTGCTCATGGAGATGGCATTTAGGTGTCAAAATGAGTGAGATTTCAATTTCGAGTCTAGGAAAAAATTTTAAAAAAAATATTTGATTAAAACACTCAAAACAAAAAACAAAACATATCGATTGTAAACTCAAAACCAAACAGAGTGATATTCCGAGCACCCTTATTTTTGTATGATTTTCTTTTTTGGAGAAATTACACTACTATAGATTTTTTAATATAAATTTCAGATCAGTGGTAAAATTTATCAACTAATTGAAGTCATAAATTTTTTCATGGCTTTGTAATTTTTTTTATTTTTTATTTTTTTATATTGCAACTGGCTCACAATTTTCTCTTCTTTTTTTGGTATAAAAATAATTTTTAAAAATTAAAAGTTTTTTTTTTATTTATTTCCGTCAAATTAATTTCTAGTTATTCAAAATAAAATTTTGAAATTCAACTAAATAAATTAGTTTTCACATGATAAATTTAATTTTTTATTATTATAATCTAACATTACACTAAAGGTAAAGAATCCTATGTTAATTTCACACCCAAGACAGGGGTACTTTGGTCCACATAAAAGAAGTTATGGGAATTATTAGTTTTCTAAAAAAAATTAAATTCATTTACATCTTTGTTTAACATTTTTCATATTAGTAATAATAATTACAGTCATTTATTATTTTCTTAACATGGGATTAACATGGGACACACGTTAGACCAATATGCCTTCGTTTGGAAAGTGGGTTGGCTTTTTGATTTTTTGACTTTTTTAACTATTTGAACCGGGGCTTAAAAGCTTGGTTTGGGAATGATTTTTTGACTTTTTGACTTTTTTGACTTCTTTTGTGAGAAAAGAGTGTAATGATTATGGGATGGATGTGATGTTTTGTCTGTTGTGGCTCAAATAATTTATTCTGTCTTTTGTGGCTCAAAGAACCAAAAGAACCCAAATGAGCCCTCCCAAACGACACCATAAAAATCATAAAATTCCACAATTTGAACCAAACCCAAAATTTGTAATTCTTAAACCGTTTTGCGTTAAGACGTGATTCATTTTGACCCGATATTAAATTTGAGTAAGAATTCATAAAAAAAAAAATATAAAATGACATCTTTTAAATTTGTCACTTTCATTTCTCTTTTGCTTTCTTCTAGAAAAAAAATTTAAAAATTAAAAATTAATTTAGTTAAGAAATAAAAAATAAAAAATAATTAAATGATAAAAAAAATTTCTAAAAATCAAACCATACATAACCTAAGAATCTTTTGATAAGTCATTTCTTATGTTAGTAACTTATTTAATTATTTGTTAATTTTACGACATTTTTATCATCAGTTTGGTAACCATTTCGTTTTCAATTTTCAATTTATATTTACGAAAATTTTAAAAACTGCCATAAAAATTTGTTTGATAATTTTTTTGATTTATAAATGGTTGTCTCAGTTTGTAAATTTGAGAAAAAAACGTAAATTCAAAAAATGAGCTTATGTTGGTTTTAAACAGATATTTAAAAACTTTACTAACAAAAAAAAATTTACAATTAAATTTTTTTTTCAAATAATTTTTTTTCCAATTAATTTTTTTTTTCAATGAATTTTTTTCCAACTAATACTAACCAAGGGAGCAATTGGTAATGCTACTTTGAACCTTAGGGAGGGGATTGCAATTTCTAATATGTGAAGGGTGTCAATGTAATTTATCCAATGAGGACAAAATTAGTATTTAAAAAAATTAAATTACTGAAGGGAGAATCTGTAATGAAACTTTAAATCTCAAAGAGAGATGAAATTTTTAAAATGTGAGAGGGGAACTGTAATAAACATAAACCTCAGGAGAGATGTAATTTTCAAAAGATGAGTGGAGGAACTGTAATAAACATAAAGCTCAAAAGGCGTCAGTGTAATTTACCCATATATATATATATATATATATAATCAAAACAACCTGTAAAAAGCTGAGAAATGAACGTGGGTACTTCTTGTGCAGAGCTAGGGTTTCAGTCTTTGAGAGAGAGAGAGAGAAGCATGGACGTGGGTGAGAAGTGTGGAAGAGAGAGAGAGAGATGGCTTTGAGAGAGAGAGCGGGAAGATGTTTATGGACGTGGGTGAGAAGCATGGGTTAACACGTGGACGGGGGTTTCTTAGATTGGTTCATACATTTTGAGCATTACATGTTATTAAAAGTTATCTCACCGTTCAAATTTCTTAGTAGGACAAAATATATGTAGAATAAATTAAAGGACAGTACTGCTTTGTTATATAGATAATTTTGTTAAAAGAAAGAATATACAATGAAGGCAACATTTGCCAATTATGAAAATTATATTCATCCATCGTAATGTAGACTCGTTGAAACAAATACAGGTTCACATGAAAGGTAGATTTTTGAACACACAAACATTATCATCATTTATCATCATCATTAATCTACCATTGCTCATGTTTTAGGCAATGTTTTCATAACCTGGCTACTGGGTGGGGGCGAGGAAGGTCCCAGTCGGTGACGATGTGATTGCGAGTGATTTCCTTTAGAGAACGGCAACCACTTAAAGCCATAGTCAGTTCAAACTCATCACGCAGCATCTGAAGTACTTTTCTGATACCAGCTTCTCCTTCAGCAGCCAATGAGAACACCACAGGCCTTCCGATCTGAGATTCAGTACACGAATCAGTGAGTCTCGAGTAGTCATGAATTCAGAATTAAAAAGGATTGGATAGACATAAGAAGAATGTACCATGAGTGACCCGTCTAATTCCATAAACAACTTTTCCATAAAAAATTAATTACAAGCATCTATTGTGTTACATGGAAATCATTACCTAGATATAATGGCATAGTACAGTAATACTCGAGCGTTGACTACCTAGACTAGAGCAGAGTTTTAAAAGGCTTTGTTGATGCTCACCTTGAGGCAAAGCTATGGAAAAATGTATCAAGGCTTTAATTTTTAGGCTATATTACCAAAAGGCTTGGCATCACAATATGAGGCATGAGCTTTAGGTGAGTCTTGTATGCCTTTTGTGCATAAGCATATGAGAAATATGCTTATGAAGAGCTTGTCTTAGGCCTCGTTCGGCAACATCATTTTTTAGCCTAAAAGCCAAAAAGTCACTAAAAAAATTAAAAAGTCAACAACCTATACCAAAAAGTTAAAGATTATCTTTTCTCTCTACTTTTTGCACATCTTTCCGTAAAAAACTAAAAAATCATCCCAAACATACTAGTTTTTTTTTTACATCACATTTTAGCCAAAAAGTTAAAAAAGTCTGTTCTTAAACGAGGCCTTAGGCTCTTGTTAAACTTGGTCTAGTATATAGTTTTGTTTTTTTCGTTTTTAAATATGTATATATATAGTTTTGCAACTATATTTTATAAGAAAAATGAAGTAAACGACCAATCAAGAAAAAAATACAAAAGAGCCAAAAGAGGTCCTTTTTTTCACTATGATTTTGTTACTTTATTATACTCACAAATATGCCAGAGGCCCCAAGTGCCAAGGCTTTGAAAACATCTGTTCCACGGCGGACACCACCATCCAAGAACACGGGCACACGGCCTTGTGCAGCTTTCACAACCTAAGATTAAATGCAAGTTCATTAGATGCATCACCTAAAAACAGAGATTCACAAATAATCATGCACTGTTATGCTCATATACCTCTTCCAGAGCCATGATAGTGGCAGGGACATAATCAAGTTGGCGAGCACCGTGATTAGAGACAATAATGCCAGCTGCTCCAGCTTGTACAGCTAGCATTGCTGCATAGTCAGCACAGAACAACCATTTAAGAATCAATCCATAAAACCAAACTGTTTAAAGAAAAAAGTTGGAAGCTTTAGCGTTCTTACCATCCTCAGCAGTGAGTACACCCTTCACTAGGATTGGCAATTGAGTGATTGTCTGAAGCCACTTCACATCCTGTCCATGTCCAGAAAGAGATTATTCAGTTGGTAAACTCTTTTAAGGCAAACTTTAAGGCCGTGTTTGAATCAAGGATTCGAGGTGGGATTTGCAGAGGGAAAGGAAATAGAAAGGGAAAATTGAATGAAATACAAGCTAAATGTTTATCACATTTCCCTTTCCTTTTCCTTTCCCTCTACAAATCCCTTCTCAAATCCTAGATCTAAACACAGCCTAAAGGTAGGCTTATTTCCCAACTAACACACCTTCCAGCTCAGAGAGCGATCAATTTGACCAGCTACATATGAAGCTAGTCCAGAGTCGTCACTCTGCATGGTCCCATAAAACAAATCAAGATTAATATAAGAAAAATCCTATGAAACTAAAATTAATCAATCAGTTATGTATGCCACTCACTTGATCCATCTTTCCAAGGTCCAAGCCCTCAAAGTTCTTCAATGTCAAAAATGGTGGTAAAGTAAATCTGTATGAGAACCACAACCGTTCAGAAGTGCTCTTGACAGCGATTAAAGTCTAACATATAGAGCTTCCGTTCTTTTACTTGCATAGAAAGCAATCACAGAACCAGACACAACCCCCTCACATCGGTGTGGGACCCAGAAAAAGGTAGGACCCAACTCATGGGAGAGGGTACTGTGCAGTTCTGTTATTTGTTTGTGTTCCTAGACTTTTTCATAGAGCTTCGACTCTTTAAAGTTGGTGGTCAATCACTTGGCCATTGATGCCTCATGAAGCATCAGGTCTAAGGTTCGACTCCCATTGAGTGCTATCAATCCCTTAGGAGCCACACTGCGGGTATAGCCTAAGATTTGCCCGACCCACGTGGAGGGGGCACTTTGCATGGATCTTGGGATTAGTCGGGGTTTACCCGGATACACAATATTCAAAAAATAAATAAAAAAAAGTAAGACAGTTGAGTCAAAAGACAGCTCAACCTCGTACATAAGCCACTTGAAAGAATGTTGATTAAAGTGCACACCTGTTCTTGATGTCAGCTTCTCTGCGACCAAGCCTGGGGGTATCAACTGTGAGGGCTATAGCCTTGAATCCAGCTCTTTCAGCCCTCCTCACAAGCTGAGCAACTACTTTCCTGTCCTTGTACACCTGACATTGGAAGCAACAGAATTCTCACTCAGACAACACATGAATGAAAATGCCCACAACTTAATAAAAATAAGGAAGTAGTGAAGAAAACAAAGTTATAAATGTTTTTTTCAAACTCACGTAAAGCTGGAAAAAGCGGATTCCAGGTCCTGTTGAAGCAACTTCTTCAACACTAGAAGTAGCCCATGAGGACAATGTCTGAAATAACCAAAGAATGATGCATAAGTGAAGTGAAGCATACATCCAATTTGTAAAACAAAAAATAAAGATCTCATGATTTCTTATTTTGAATAAAGATTGGCATTTGTCCATTATGAGCCCAGGAAAAAGTTTTCTTGATGACAATTTTAGAAATAATTATAAATCCCCTGTACAACGTGTAGTCTAATTAACTAGCATTCAGAGCTTATCTACTACCTAGGTATACTGGAAAATAGATGGTAAATGGTAAAAACCTAACTTTTTCATGAATGGTCACTGACACCCATTGAGATTTCTAAAACCTACAAACTTGCCTAGAGGTTGCACATCTCATGTATGACCCATGTCCCCTTAGAATTTGAAAACATGATTTAAAATATATTATCATCTAACACAGTGATAGAATTGCATCTTAAACTGCTGAAAAGGACCAAATTGATTAAAGAAGTTGTATGAAAATGGAAGAGAAAATTATATGTATAGTAATCTGTTTACCATGGTATGTGGTTTGATGGGAATTGGGGGCAGAGTACGAATAAGTGAATATATAGAGATCTTTAGGGCTTAATTATACAAGTGTTTAAGAATGAAAAATTTACCACATTTTGGATATTGCAATCCAAAATGCAGCTTACGAGGGTACCAGTGAATTCTAATGATATCTGGCTACATAGAATTGAAGTTTCTCCATCTTGGGTTCAGATTGACTCCTTATATTAGATGATCGAAACAAATTTTTTGTTTCATTGTTTGTGAAGTGCATGATGTTTGATATATCCAGTGTTCGGGGGTGCTGCCTAACGATGCAAATTTAATTGGAATGTTAAAGGGTAAGAGTTAACCATAATTGTGCCAGCTGCTGAGGCGGCTCTAGCCGTTGCATACTCTCCTGCAAGAGAATTAAGTCATGTCATCAGACTGAAAACCATGTTTGTCTAAATACCAATTGAAGTAAATTACTGTTGAAACTAATTATCAGCTCTGCTAGATCAAATTCAAGAAAAGCATACTGTTTATCAAGTTCCTAATTAGACCCTGCTGCCCCCTTTGTGAAAAGTGAAAACAAACTCACTCTTGTTCCTATCAAATATCTTCACAATAACCAAAAGGAGCAGCAGAAATTTAAATTAAAGGGTCAATTTAACTATGGCATGTTTATGGACACTGCTACTGCTTGGAAGCAATTGATAGAAGCAAGACACAAAATTGAATATTAAGATCAACAAAAATAACAAGGCCAGTAATTGCATGGGAAGTGCATAAGTGGCTGTACTAGTTTCATGGACAAACAAATTTCAGAAAATGGAGCCTCAATGGAATATGGATTTTTATTGTCATTCTCAGTAGATCTTTTAACTTTCAAATCCGATAGTTCAAGTTTGGTTCGAGGAGGTCTAGATTCATTTTTCAAAATCTGTGTTTGTTCCTCCGTTATATCAGTTGTTGTGCACTCTGTTTTGTGTGTGTGCGCAACATATCAAGTTCAATTTGATCACCTCTCCATATGCAAGACGGGTCACACATGAAGGTGAATGGATAGCTTAACATCCATTATTGGTCCCATTTTCTAACAACTTAATCTTTTGAGAAAAAGGTGACTTAACAAGAAAATTAAATTTGAGATTTTCAATCAGTGAACTTGAAAAAGCTGGTGATATGTATTGGACAAGTTCAAGTTTAATGGAGAAAAATGATACAGGTAATCATGGAAAAATCTGGGCTAAATGAACTCATAGTTGATTATGACAAAACCAGTTACCAAATGATGAAAATATCCATTATGCCACTGAAGCTAAAATATAAGTACACATCTAAAATTTAAATGAGTTGGGCTACCAAAAAGTAGTGATCAATTTAAACTTTAGATTTTTACCAAGACTCACTGAGAACTCTCTAAAAAATGTAATAAAAAGACTGAGCTTCCAAATTTATTTATTATTTTTTTTAGGCTACACAGTCAACTTGGTCAATCAAGACTTATAGAGCACTGATATGTGCAAATTGGCTATAACCAAAAAACCAAAATTAATCAAATATTTATAAATCGATGAGTAACAGTTCCACTTCAAAAATAAAAGCAGATATACATGAGGCAAGAAAATTGCTTACCTTCAGGGTGAGCCATTTTCTGAAAGGCTGTTGGGGCAATCATGATAGGCATGGAGATCTTGAAGCCCAAGACGGTGGTGGTCATGTCTATCTTGCTTACATCGATAAGAATACGGGGTCGAAACCTGAATTTCATTGAAACAATCTATTTCTGAGGACATAAGCATGTACCAAGCAAATATACATACATATAAGGATGACTAAATTCCTATTCAGGGTCGTGGCAATTGTGAATCAAGATAGAAATCTTACAGAATTCTCGAGAAAGCATTTCTGTTCTCCCGCAAAGTCCATTGGTCCTCTGCACCGGATGCATAGTAGTCGTACACCATCTTCGGCAACTTTTGCTTGGCAATGGCCTCATACTCGGTGACATTGGTTACCTCCATCTTTATGGTTGACTCTTTTTCTCCCCCTCAGAAAATCTTGATTCAACATCAGAATCATAGATATCATATTCTTAGTCATTCCTTAAGAATTAATACCATTTTCTAGCTCTCAAAAGTAAGAAAACAATTCTATAACATAATCAGATCTTGCTGAGGTACAAAGAAGAGTAATATAGATCATATGGAAGGTAAATCATTGACCTATGATTAGTATCATTAGAATAACAGCTTTAGGTTCCGATACACATAGTCGCAATATTGGAAAAGAAAAAATCCACCGGCAATAGAAAGAGTAAGAAATAAATGAATACTTGGACTGTGTTTGGATGAAAAGGGAATGAACAAGTAAATGCAATATACGCTTTTTATTACTTTTTCCTCTCCTTTTTTTCTTCCAATCCACAAATAGTTCAACAAATCCAATATCCAAAAATCAGAATAGAAATTCTGAATCCTAGACAAGAAAAACCTCAAAAGAACAATCACATATACATGTTCACATAGGAAATCTTTAGACTAGAAAACACATACACAAACTTCCAGAATTCAAGAAAGTAGGTACAAGACTGAAGCTAAAAATCCCTTACAATGTAATAGACCAAAGTTTGTGTTCTGTGTATCAAAAAATCAAAAACTTTGAAACTGGAACTGTCAAAACTTCAAACTTTAGATTGAACCAATTAGAATCAAACCCATTGGATACTAAAATTAACCAAAAACCCACATGAGATACACTAGCAAAATGGCAATTCTATGAACTAAAAAATGAAATAATGAAAAGAGAGAAGAGCAGATAGAGAGAGAGAGAGGCAGACCTTGGACTCCAAAATTATTGAGAAGAGTGCATAGAGGTAGCAGCCAGAGGAGGAGTTGTAAGAAAAGAGAGAGAGAAATAGCCAAAATAATAATTAAAGTTTTATAAGGTGGATGAATGAAAAGAAGAGATGAGATGAAGACAAATTGGGTGGGGGCTAAGTACAGTTTTGAGGATAAATTTTTGGAGGTGGGTATTCCAAACCCCATCCTATTATGGGCAATAGGTTGCCTCTCCTCCACATGAGTCTTGTGTGCTTCAGAGTCATCCTTCATCATCATCCCCAAGCAAAAATAAATAAATAAATAAATAAAAAATATGCATACATACATATATATATATATATATTTGTGTTTTATGTTTGTTTGCGTGTGCCTCAGAACATTTGTTTAGAATGGAAGAAGTCTGTCTGTCTCTCTCTGTCTCTCAATAGTTACGTGTCGCCATCTTTGTTTTCTCTGTCTCCATCTCCATGGTCTACAGTTCAAACTTGGAGATGTGGTGCCAAAAGCAGTGGGGGGTGAGTGAGAGGCCCAATTAAGATTAGCTTAATAAAAAATTAATTAATTAATTAATTCAACAAGTCAGACTCGAATAGGCCCATGCAATTTTCTATAGCGTAAGTCCAACCCATAGATTTAAAAAAATAAATGTATTTATTACCTAATAAATTGTATGATAATTAATTATTTTTTCATTAAATATTATTAAAAAATATCATTAGTTATTAATTTTCAACGACAATTCAAAAATTGTCACAAAAAAAGTCAATAATTATAAGTTTTAGCGGTGGTTTAAAAAAATTATCATAAAAAAAATCACTAATTTTCAACTTTCAACAATAGTTTGAAAAAGTTGTCACGGAAAAGAGTCACTAATTGTAAGTTTTATCGACAATTTATAAAAACTATAACAGAAAAAAATCACTAATTATCAATTTTTAGAGACTTGTAAAAAATTATCATAAACAATTATTTATAGCGACGATTTTACTATAATTATTTTCAATAAAATTTGATGAAAATTAAATTGAACTATTAAAACATAGTTTACTCTTAAAAATATGGGCTTATGGGCTTCGGATTTAGCCTAGCCCATAGACCTAATATATGCATTTGATTAAAATAAATATATTTTTTGACTTTCTATAAAAAAACGTAAAATATGAATTAGATTTGAAATAATGTGGTAGAGAGATGATATGATCTAAATAATATGATTGTAACACAAATAGAATAATGTGTTAAAATAGCCTATGTTATTTTAACACATGCCAAACACTCTCTCAAAGTCAAATAATTAGAAAAATTTTAAAATTATAATATAATTGAAAGACATTACAATAATATAATTGAACATTGAAGGGAAAATAACATAACGGTGGTTGTGAGAAAAAGTGATAAACATTGTAAATATTAATAATCGGGATAACACTTCCTCGGTCCTCAAGATACGAAACGGCGACCGGGCTAGTTGACTCCTGTCTGCGAAATTTGTTCGCTCCTACTCCTCGGTTGATGTTCTCTTCTTCAAAACTTGCCCGGTTGTCTCCTCGACTCTTCAACCTGTCTTTTCAGTTTTGACGTCGTCATAAATGGGGACACGTGGCAGGCTTCCATTGGACCTCGAGCAGCCAACCCAGCCGTCTGCCAGAATTTGAATTCTTGGCGGTTTCTCCGTCTATACATACAAGCCCCCTTTTCCTCATTTCGCTCCTACTGCCTCTCTGTAATCCGACGCTTCAAAGCTCAAGCACCTTTCTCCAAGCCTCGTCTGTCATTCTTCGTGCTCGAAGGATTAGTCCCTGCCCTTCACTGGTAAGTCCTTCAACTCCTCTTTTGTTGCTATTTTCTTAAATATTTCACACATTAGGGCACTAAAACATAGTTCTTAGGACGTAGGCCATAGAAATCGTCCCAAACCTCCCACTGCTCATGGTGTTCTTCATTTTCGCTGATGAACTTCGAAGAACTGGGGCGGACCGGGCTCCAGGTCTTTGTTTGATCTAAAAAACCATCTCGACCAAGCAAATAACCTGTTAGATATAACCATAGCAAGAACCAGGATAACAAAGGTCTTGGCCGCTCAACCGGGCTAAAATCTGGTCTGCTTGGGCGGCCGAGCTCCTTGTCAGCCTCTATGACCGAGGTGGTTTGGCACTCTAGACGACCGAGCTAAAGTCAAGCTCGCTTTGCGCGACCGCGCTCCCTCTTACACTTGCCCTCCTTTTCCTGCAGAGTCCAAGGGGACCACTGTCCAATCCTGAGGCTCCCAAAGACCAAGCAGCCACAAATCACCTGACAGTGCCAAACCAAAGCCGAGCTAATTTAGCCGGTCGTAAATGGGGAAATTCCGCTTCCTTGTAGATACTCCGGCTGCCCTAGCTGCGTTCAGGGAGGAGTACGGCATCCTGGCCGATGTCCACCTAGAGCTCGCAGAAGAAGAGACCACACCTTGGGGCAGAACAGAACAATGCCCCTTCACCGTGCTGTCGATCGTCGAAGGAGGCCTCCGCTTCCCCCTCAACCCACTTATCACCGAGTTCCTCCGCTGTACCGGGCTGGCACCCACACAAGTGTCCACCAACACTTACCGAATTATCAACGGCGTCCATGAACTGAACAATTGGCTAGGCACCAACTTAGGTCTAGCCGAGATATTAAGGCAATACATGATGGGTCACACCGGTGACGACCTAGCCTATTACTTGAAAATCAGACCGGGCAAGGAGAAAATTGTAACCGGCACCCCGGATAAAGACTTGCACGACGACGATTTTTTCTGGGTGTCGGGCAATTACGAAACAGCCGAGGTACCGGGCTGGTTTATAAGCAAGAACTTCGGTTCCTCATGTAAGCCGCTCAAACTTGCTCGGTCAGCCAGCCTTCTTTATTCTGTAATTAACCAGTTTTCTTGTTTCTTTTGCAGCAATCCAAGCCTTGCAAGCCAACTACCAATTTCCCAACGTAGAGGCAATTCGGACCGTGCTCCGCCATCGCCACCGAGATTGCAACGAGCTGCTCAGCTACACTCCAACCTACAGATACTCCGCTCCCCGCCGAAGTAAAGTTACAGACTTCCTTCGTGCTCCATCACCTCCTCCAGATCCAACTTTGCCAGACGTTCCACTAATCCGGTTGACAGAAGAGCAAGAGATGGCCAAACGAAGCCGAATCAAAAACCTGCTCACCGCAACGTCTACCGAGATATCGAGCGTCGTCACCCGCTCTCCAGCCGCCGGTCAGTCAAGGGGCGCCGTGGTCGCCCTTGCTTCTCAAGCTGCCGGGGAGTCAAGCCAAGCAACACGCCGGGCTGGCAAAAGAGCTCGCGCGGACCCGTCTGCCGAGCTGATTACCGAATTATCCACCGAGCAACCTACCGTCACAGCTGACCCAACGCCGGCATGGAGACCGCAGCTCAAGCACCGGGGAAAGGAAATCTCGGCAACGGCTTCCATCAAGGGAGACAAAGAACATCTTCTTGCCTTTGATCTCTCCAAAACCCTTCTCCTACCGAGCGACGTGGTTGGCAGCGACCACGTTCCTGACACCCGGCTGGTGAAATCAGCCGTGAAGTCTATGAGCAGGGTAAAAGTCTCAACCTTCTACTCCAATTTTCTTAGTGTTTGCACGGTTTCTTCTTCTCTAATCAGGTTTCCTTTTTGCAGGCCATCCAAAAACAACACTTAGTCATGGAGCGCATCCACCAACTTCGGCAGAAGGCAGCCGACACTGACAGCCAAGTCCAAAGCCTCCAAGCCGAGCTTGGTCGGGCAAAAGCATCTCTCCAAATTGCCAATGCTGACAACAACAGGTTGCACGGTCAGCTTGACGAGGCCGAGAAGAAGCGCGATGAGCTCCAGGCCGAGCTGGATGCTCTGAAAAAGTCAAGGAAGAAGGACTGCCAAGATGCAAACAACGGCGGCTTCCTAGAAGCCGAGGGAAGCTACAAGAAGCAGGTCTTCGCTACCCAAGACATCTACTTCAAAGCGGGTTGGAAGTCTGCCTGCAAGCATCTCAGTCAGGGACCTGATACTGACGTCTTTGCCACCCCGCCGCTTGCTTCCCTGCCGGCCTACCTCGTGCCATATGCCAATGACGTCTTCAGTGCATTGCAAGCTGAGGCCGAGGAAGGGCTTGAAGAGGAAGAGGCCAGGGAAGATACTGACGGAGAGGAGCAACCAGAACAGGAGCAGCCCGGCCGAACTGAGCCCGGTGTTGAAGACCGTTCTCCAGTAGTGAACTTGGAGACAACTCTAGATGATGAATTCACCAATCTCTCCTCCTTAGCTTAGTTTTTTCTTTTTTCTATTGCCCTTTTTTTTTTTTTTTGCTTTGCACATGTAACCGGGCTCTCTGCCCCTCCTTTTGTATTAACTTTCAATCAATGAAAAGCTTTAATTGCATCGAGTGTTTGCACGGTTTTCTCAAACTCTATCTTCAGCAAAACATCTCGGTTTAAATCACGAAGTTGCACAAATCACCAACTAGCTTGACCGGAGTTAACATCTCGGTAAATTTAGTAAAATTGAGAAACTTCTTCAACCGGAATAAACATCTCGGTCGGAACAACAAAGTTGAACAAATCACTAATTCTTTCAACCGGACTAAACCATCATGGTTGAGCGTGCCTGAACTGAACCAAACATCTTGTATGACCGAAATACACCATTTCGATTTTAATTCTGATAGAATTGAACAAACCATCAACTCCTTCAACCGGAGTAGGTCATCTCGGTTGGAATCTTTGAGTTGAACAAATCATCAACTCCTTCAACCGACGTAACTCATCTCGGTTGGAATCTCTGAGTTGAACAAACCACCAACTCCTTCAACCGGAATAACTCATCTCGGTTGGAATCCATGAGTCGAACAAACCATCAACTCCTTCAACTGGAGTGACTCATCTCGGTTGGAATCTTTGAGTTGAACAAATCATCAACTCCTTCAACCGGCGTAACTCATCTCGGTTGGAATCTCTGAGTTGAACAAACCACCAACTCCTTCAACCGGAATAACTCATCTCTGTTGGAATCCATGAGTCGAACAAACCATCAACTCCTTCAACCGGAGTAACTCATCTCGGTTGGAATCCCTGGGTCGAACAAACCATCAACTCCTTCAACCGGAGTAACTCATCTCGGTTGGAATCTCAAGTTGAAC